TAAAAAGTACAGTTGAAAAGATGTTGCTTCCTGTTTCCAGTAAGAAAATAGTAAGAAGGTAAAAAGAGAGAAAAGCTGAGGGGCTTGGTATAGTGAAAGCAGATACTGGAGCTGGAGGGGGTGATTGGTGCACAGAGCAGGGGTACATGTATACGTAAGTCATCTGGGCATTTGAGATACGTCTTTTGTAGCTTAATGTCATTGGGTTCTTGTTAAAAGACTAAGCCGCCCTGTGTTTCCATAGCTTAAGGTACAATGATATCCTGACCCTGTTTCCAACTTGTTAGATTTAGATATATTCTCCTTTGCTCTTCAAGTCAATTATTAGGACCAAGACCAAACTTTTTGTTTCCAATAAAGTGTTTTAAATTTTGCTTTTGTTCATTTAAATATTTCAGCATTGTTCTCAATACATTTTCTCCAGCAAAGGCCCCCACTTGAGTGAGTCGTTGTCCTCATAGTCGTTTAATTTTTTTTAATCCTTCTCATTTTCTTGATATGGTGATGATTCCTTGAACTTCATGATTTTCAAGTTAATGACCTTCTATGTCTTATTTCTTAAATTATACACTAAGCCTAACTTCTGGTTCCTAGGTAAGTCTGTAATGTTGTATGCAGCAGAAATGATACCTAAACTAAAAACAAGAACACAAAAAACAGGAGGTGGTGACCAAAGTCTTCAGCAAGGAGAGGGAAGTAAAAAAGGAAAAGGAAAGAAGAAGAAGTGACCTGGTATGAGAATATGTGGTACTACTGTAAGAGACATGATTGGAGGCCACTAATTTGTGTGGGAGAGAAACACGTTTTTTGTTTGCATCATTGAACTGAACTGTGAACAGTTGTGCTGCCCAGCTTCAGCATCAAAGTTGACAGTGAAATGAATTTACATCAGAAGTTTGCATCTCACTCTTATGCAGTAGAAAAGAAAATTCTTTTGCCTGTCAGTGCAGAGTTGTTGTGGAAGAAAGAAGCATATTTTTAAATGGACAGTGGACTCTATCTACCATAAGTTACTTGAAAGCCTGTGTGTTGTCGTCCTCTGTGTAACCATGTTTCAGATAAATGAGTTTAGTAAGATTTAAAAATACACATTTTGTTCACCTTTTAAGTTAATGAAATAAAATTTGAAATTGACTTTTGTAGCTTTTGCTTATGAACTGATTAATGTCAGTAGAGGAAATAGAATAAAATGGGTACTGGAAGCTTAGTGTCAGCCTGAAACTAAAAGAAAGTGGTTAAATCCTCTGAGGTCTTTGAACAACCATATCATATTCTTATAATCAGTTATTGTAATTGAATTGTTCGAATACTAGTTTTTTGACATATGGAATGTCCTGGAGTTTAAGCTTTAGATTTACTTATTTTTTTAGGCTTAAGAACCTTATTTTAATTAGAGTGCTAAAATTACCTATGCTTGAAGACCTTGAGATAACGCGTTTTTCAAGAAACTAAATTGGATTGGTGATTCTGACTTTATTTCAAAGCACTGTTTCTGAAAGTGGTAATTTTGTGTAAAATTTAAGAGAATCTCTATTCAGTTGTATATTTTGTCTACTGAGCATCTGTTGGGGAACTGCCTTCTCTAATTCCACATGCATTTGGAAGGGCTATTAATTAGAGGACTGCGTCCTGACCACAGGATATGACCCAAGTGAGGCCAGTGGATTATTTCTCAGAAATTTAAATCTAGAGTAGAAACACAGGAGTACAGATGGTGATGGGAGCTAAGATATCTAATGGTCTACAAATTTAAGCTGTCCTATATTGTTCTTCCTGAGGCCTGGCTTAGCTCTTCTATGAATTCTGTGAGCTACCTCATATCCTTCCAGTAAATCCCATTTTCTGTAAGTTTTTATTGCTTGAGATCGAACAGTTTTATTTGATTACAAAATAAACCCAGAATTTCAGAGCTTTAAATGGGGTTACACACCCAGGCTGTATGAATGTGATCCATTGATGTGCAGGAAAAAGTACTAAGAATTTCTACTTATTTTTTTCTCTCTTTAACAATTTCTGTTGTTAATGTTTTATAGTGAATATAATAGTATAACAGTTTATATATTTGACTTGCAAATAAATATTGGGGCAGTATGTGCAAAACATGATTCAGAGCAGCCCTCTTGGGGAAAGTGTATCACTTAGGAATGTGTTTGGCTATGTAACAAAACATGAGGGACTTAGGAGGTAATTTTTTTCAAATAACATGAAATCCAAAGGTTATTATAGGTGTTGGTTCAGCTGCTCAGTGATGCCCTCTTATTATATCTTTCCATTCCACTATCCATGGCATGTTTCTAACATCCTTCTAATTGTTGTCTCAAGCTTGTAAAAGGGCTGATAACGCCAGACATCACATCGGAGTTCAAGACAGAAAGAAAAGACAGCTGTGCCAGCCACTTCTATCCCTCGTTAAAGAAAAGCCAAAAATCTCTCAAAATCCCTCCCAGCCAACTTTCACTGACGTCTCATTGTTGAGAAGTGTGGCACATGTCAATCTTCAGCTGCAACCGAAGCTGGGAAAGTGAATATGTAGCTTTTTCAGTCCTGATAGTAGAGGCAGCCAAGAAGAAATTGAGAAGAGTTGAGAATGGATATTGGGGCAGCCAACTTAAAAGATTCGTGATAGAAAGATGACTGGAGTCTAAAATTGTTTTAGTTATGGGGTAATAAGGATTGTCAAAAAAGGTTTCATAACTATTTTCGTAACATTGTATTCCTGTTTCTTCTCATTGTTGCAATCAGTGCGTAATTGCCCTTTTCTTTGCCAATCAAGTGAAAAATGAAATCTTTCCAAAGAGCAAGATTGAGCATTTATTCATATGTTGAAATGCCATTTGTATTTATTTCAGTGAATTATGTTCACATCCTTTGTCCACTTTCTAAGGCCTTTATTATTAATATTATACTTGTACATAATTTAAAGAGCCAGCTAGTTTTAATAGTTTCAGTTTTAGGCATTAACTTCTGTCTGTAGAAGAGGACCATTTAGTTTTCCTTCCTTTACCCCCAACACACGCATGCATGCCTCCCATCTTCCCTGCTACCAATATATTTCATAATTTTAATCACTACTCCGTTTACATTATTACTATACAATCCATTCATAGCTGAGCATGTAGTACCTTTGCTACTCAAAAGTGTGGTCAGGGGTCCAGCAGCACTGGCCTGTCTTGGGAGCCTGTGATAAATGCAGAATCTCTGGTCCCAGCTCAGAATTGGAATGCATTTAATCTTCCCCAGGTGATTCTTAGGCACACTCAAGTGTGAGAAACACTGACGTATGCTATGGTTATTGTTGTTTTCTGGACTTATGTTTCCCTTGGGTCTAATTATTTTTTTCTTTCATTTGCTTAGCTGTCTTGAATATCACTAACTCAACCCAAGTTATCAGTTGTCAAAATGTCCTTTCAAAAGAGTTTGTTCACATTAGGTAGTTTATTAATTTCATCTTAAAGAAGTCTCTTCTGGAGCCTTTTACCTGGCTCTTGCCTCTACTGGTTACCCTTTAGGCTGAATGCACAGCTTGACTCGCTTCACTATCCGGAGTGTGACTCACTTCACTGCTTGGCTGTTGTGGATATCCTGTGTTAGTGTATCCTACCTATCCTCCTTTTTGGGTTACTTCCTTGTTCTGTGTAGCCCATTTTCAGGATCTTCCTGAGAAAAATGCAAGGGAGGTAAATGTTCTTAGACCTTGCGTGTCTGGAAGTGTCATTTCTTATCCTCAGTGTTTGGCTGGACCTAGAATTGTAAATCACTTTCTTTCAGAAGTTCAAGGGCATTGCTTCATGGTCTTCTGTTACAGCTGAAGGCAAGTCCAAGCCATTCTAGTTCAAGATCTTTTGTGACCAACATTTTTCTTGTTGAAACTCACAATATCTCAGTATTCTGAAATATCACAATAG